GCTGATAGAGTTACGCTGGCTGCCCAGTCACTAACATGAAATGCTCCTGAAATTGTAAAATATCTGATAAATAACTAATAATGAAACTAATATTAGACTAATATTAGCCATTACAAATGACTCTGAGGAAATGCAGACGGCCAACAGGCACATGAAAAAATGCTCAACATCGCTTATAATCAGGAAAATGCAAATTAAAACCACAATGAGATACCATCTCACACCAGTAAGAATGTCCCACATTAAAAAAACTATTGACAACAAATGCTGGTGACGATGTGGCAAAAAAGGAGCCTCGACCACTGGTGGGAATGTAAACCACCAGTCACTATGGAGAGCCTATGTGGAGGACCCTCAGAACACTAAAAATGGGGCTACTAAATGACCCAGCAGTTCCACTCCAAGGAATCTACCCAAAGGACACTAAGATATTAATTCTAAAGGAAACCTACACTCCCACATTCATAGTGGCACTATTTATAATAGCCAAAATATGGAAACAACCTAAATGCCCAAAAATGACTGGATCAAGAAGATGATGTGTATACACACAATGGATTACTATTTGGCCATCAGAAAAGATAAACTCATGCCGTTCCAGCAACATGGATGGAGCTGTAAGGGATTATGCTCAGCGAAATAAGTCAGAAGGAAAAAGACAAATATCAGATGGTTTCACTTACTGGAGGAACACAGGGGAACCAAACAAGGGATCAGCGAAAAAAAAGACAAAGCTATCAGGCAACTGTAACTTGGAGACATTCAGCACAGGAAGGGGAGGGAAAGGGAGCAAAATGGGAGGGAAGAGCACAAGGGATTATGGTGATGGTGCATGGGTGAACTGGTGGTAGGAATTTTATGGGGGCAACACCCAAGAGGAGAAATCAAATATTGTACAAAAACACTGATGTAAAAAAAAAAAAAAAAAAACCCCAACAAACAATTCTTCCAAACCTCTCCTCAGCCAACTTAAAATCTGCATTTGAAGAGGAATACAGATTAGATTCTGCTTTTAGGGTGTCCTTCAGTGAATCTGCTACACAGCCCGCACCTGTGGGGTATGTGTATTTAAACACAGGAAAGAGGGCCTCCCCGGTGGCGCAGCGGTTGAGTGCTGGGTTGCGAAGCTGCCCGCAGCCTCTGCAACGCCGGTTTGATCCCCGGCTGCTCCCCGGCCACCGGAGGAGGGTCCCACATGGCGCGCAGACCTCTCCTGCCGCCTGCTGCTCCCCTCAGCAGTGTACTTCGGTCCTTCTGCCTGCTCTGCTCCCTGCTCTGGCTCTGGTGAATTCTCTCACCCTCCCGCGCTTCTGATTGTACCCAGTGCTTGCATAAATAAATAAAATAAAAAATAAAATAAATCTTTTAAAAATAAATAAATAAACACAGGAAAGAAAAACATTGCCCACATTGGCGTGCCTTAAAAAAAAAACAAAAACGAGGGTCTCCCTGGTGGCACAGGGGGTTGAGGAGCAACCTATGACGCTGTCCACAGCCACCACAGCTCAAGTTCGATCCCCGCCCAGGGAGCAGCCCACAGGGTGTAGCAGACCTGTCCTGTCTTGCCCGCTGCTCCCCTCAGCAGTGTATTGCAGTCAGTCTGCCTGTTCCCACCACCCCACACCTCTGACCTATACCCCAGTTCTTGCATGCATAAATAAATCTTTAAAAAAAAAACCCAACAAACATGAGAGTCTGGACCTGACATCTAAATCTTCCCGCCTCCTCCTAAAAGCACTTGGAATGGCACGGGGTCCAGCCTGCGCTCCGGAGCAGACTGACACCGTAAAGGTAGAAGTGTTGGGACACCAGCAGGTGATCATCAAACTGTCCTCCCAAAGCTTCAATGTATCCTTTGGGAGCTTCATATCAGGAGGCCTACTGGACCATACATTAGGTATTAAAACATTTTAATCCTCTGCAAATTTAACAGAAGTCTCAAAATGAGCATTTTCCTATATTTACTGGCTGCTTCTTTTTCATAAAAACCTGTTCAGAACCTCTGCCCATTTCTTCTTCAGTTATCTTTTCCCTATAGATTTGCGAGAATTCTTTATACATGAACAGAATTAGCTTCTTATCTGTGACAGGTTAGAAATAGCTTTCCTATATTAATATTACTTTTTGACTTCCGTGTGTTCATTCTTTCTTTAATGGCTGCTAGACACTGTGCTGTGCTAAGAAAGACCTCCCCTAGTCAAAGGTTATGAAAAAAGCATTGTCTGTATTTTCTCCAGTGTTTAAAAAAAAATAAACAGCGTTATCATTTTCCAAACTAAGCTGTTTTTACATTTAAAGAACAATGCAATCTCTTCCTCTGACATTAACAATTCTAGCCTACAGATAAAGGGGCCCCTCATATACTACTGAGGAAGAAAACTTCCTGGCGGGGCACCCTGATGAATGTTACCGACCCCGTCTCCATACCAGTGACTGCACTTGCCTGTGATGGCTCAGAAGCTAGAACCAGGAGGGACCACAGGCAGCCTAAAATGAGTTTTAAGAAAAAGAAAAGGAAGTATTCTCTTACATATTAAATTATAAGTTTATTAATGAAGAATTACTCTGTAAAGGAGTATAGACTTAAAATAAAAAGGAAGGCTCAGATAAATTAAAAAATAGCAGGTTCAAAATAAGTTATTTAAGGAGTTCTGCAGGAATTTGTAGAGATCTTTTTTAAAAGACATAAGTTTAAGGAAAGCCACGAGTGTCAGAAAGCAACTCGTCTGCCTAGGGAGCGGGCCACATCTGAACTCACCGGCGCTGAACAGAGTAACAGACACAGGCACAGGGCTGCTGCGGGGTGGGAGGGACAGGAGGGACGGACAACCCCAAGGTGCACCTGCCAGGCCTGATGGGGGACAGGCGGCTCTTCTGGCAAACTTGCCTTCAAAATAAAATTGTCCTCTGGGAGAGAACAAGATGCTAGAAGAATCAGAGAAGCCCAGGAGGCAGATCCGTGGAACAAAACAGTATTTTCTTATTGACTTTCGGAGAGCAGAGAATGGGCAAACCTGATAGCCAAAACGTTCAAAGCCACCCACTAATAATGGCTGTCTGGGTCCTCACCCACGACATCTTCCGTGGTATCTCCCTTATCACAATTTTGGCCTGTTTAGGCCGTTCCTGTATCCCAGATAATAGACAGCATAGATGGCAAATGAAAAGTAAGCGCGAATCAATTATGTTCATGCATTCTGTATTTTGCTGCTTCTCATTTCATTTTTTCTTTGCTTTCAACGGATCTAATCAGATTGAATGTCAGACTGAATTAGTGATATCCAACGTAAAAAGAGCTGACTATATTATCTTCTGATTAACCCCAAAGAAGACCTAGTTTTACACTGTTTCCATCACTGCATTTGAGGACCATGGATGGCGGCGCTTTGGCAGGGAGTGAGACGCGCGTGGGAGGGAGACGCAGCGCCCGCAGCTCAAGGGCTTCAGCCCATCCTGAAGTAACTGTGGAAACAGTGACTGGGAATTCAAATAAAACGAGATTGCCATCTTCTGTTTCCTTTCCTTACTTCACGATGTGACCCTCATTATCATTCCCTCTTGCTGAACTGTTTTTTGCCAAGTGCAAGCCCCCTGTACCCTCCTCCCTGACGTATCCCAGTGAACTGGGCTGATTTTGCTCCCTGGGGACAGCTGAGCCTTCTGGGCTGTCACAACCTCGGGGGCGCTTGGGCCAGGGACACCCGCCTTGTCCTGTAACCCCTGCACCGGGCAAACACCCTGCAGCCTTCAGCGGGCTTGTATTGGCCCAGGCCAGCAGTGCTCAGCCTGAGACTCCCTGGGAGAGCCCACACGGGGTCCGGCCACTTTTTCACCTTCCATCCGGAGCCCTTCACGTCCCTGACCTGGGCTCAAGTAACACACCACAGGGAATGCATGATGGTGGTGATGGCCTTGCCTCTGAATTTCATACACACAGGACACAACAAGCTATTTAAAAATGTACACAATCTCACTTAATATATGACAAGCTCTCTTGGACAGTGATGATACAATCATCCTGTAAGCCCACAGTTAGAAGTGGTGTGACAACTAGTCTTCATATAATGTTAAAAAATATAAGTGGGCCTCCCTGGTGGCACAGGGGGTTAAGGCGCAACCTATGAAGCTATCTGCAGCCACTGCAGCACGAGTTTGATGCCCGGCCGGCCAGGGAGCATCCCATATGGCACAGCAGACCTCTCCTGACTCGCCTGCTGCTCCCCTTAGCAGTGTATTTCAGTACATCAGCCTGTTCTGTTCCCCACTCTGTCTCTGGTGAATCCTCTCACCCCCCATACCTCTGGTCTGTACCCCAGTTCTTGTATGCATAAATAAATAAAATCTTTAAAAAAAAAGGATCAAGAAATAACATTTCATAAAGCTCTTTTGCTTCTGAAGATGAGGCAGCAATGGCACTCTGATGGCTGTCTTCTCAGCTCTGCTGCTGGCCCTGAACTCTAGATGGCCACCAAGCACTACCTGATTTGCTCCATCACTCAAACTGGCTCAGCCACTATCAAAGTTACTGCAAAATTTCAAGTATTTTTTCAAACGATCCCATTGCCCTACACTTCCTAGAAGCAGCACAGTAATATCACCAGGAGCTGAGCACGGGTCAGCAGCCACGATGGCATGAGCTGCCTTTCTAGGATGAGGCAGCTCAGCTGAGAGTCACCTGCCGGGGTCAGACACTGTGTCCTTTCAGTACGACTGCTAGCTGAGCAGCAGGGCCTGTCTTTCCATTCCACACCAGTCTGAGGTATTGGCCACTTCTGGGGACTGTGTTCACCCTGCCTTCTGGCTTATGATCCACTTTAACCACCATCACTAGCGGAAAACAGGTGAGTTCACTGTTAACACCCCAGGAATGCCAAGCAAATAGCTGTCAGCGACTCTGCTTACACCTTGGGAATGGCAGCAGCTAACCCATATCACAAGCTTCTGCAGCGTACCTCACCCTCAAGACCCCGGCCCATCCAGTGGGATGAGGTCAGACTGACCTGGTTATTACTGTTGGCAGCTGATGAATTGGCCTGTGCTGCACTTGCTGAGAGGGAATCGAGGAAAGCTTGGTCAGCCACTGAGTTTCCACACGAAAACTGATCTTTTCCATCACTGGGCAAAATCTGTTAGTAGAAGGACCACAATTAGTTTTATAGATAAGCATTATTTCAGAGTTGCCTAAGGACAAGCAAGAATCGTCATCTGTTAGGAACAGGGAGTTTATAGTCTAAAAAGGAAGCAAACCAGGAACATTTGTACTTACTATCCCTTTCTCTAAATAAGCAGAATTCTAGAAAATGCAACAAATGCCAATGCCAATTTTAACTTAAGTCTTCTGGTTTTTCTCATTCTCGTCAATTTTTAGAATCATGAGCGCACAGATCTGATGACACAAACCTGGAACTTGTGGTCTGGGGCCTCTGGGGCTGCGGAGAAGGTGGGTGCAGAGGGTTTCTGAGGACTGTCTACTGTCTTAGTAGATTCGCCAGGGGGGCTCAAAACCCCCACCCCAACTCTTAATCAGGAACAACAGAGACCACCTGCCCCACCTGCGGTCAGGGAAACATCCCTCGGGGCACAAAGGCACCTTTATTCTCCATCTCCTCCAACTGGGTGGGCTCACAGGGCACCAGGCAACCTTAGCTTGTTGATATATATATTTTTTTTTTTACAATCTTTGTTCCTTTTTATCAGGGGAGAATGGGTAAGTTGAGTGTCCAGCACCCCGTTTTGAGTGACCTGCAAACCATCAGCAGGGGGCACCAGGAGGCTTTTGTCAGCGGAGGGGTGTGTCCCAGCGGGGAGCTCTGCAGCCCTGGCAGAGAACAGAGCTTAATCCCAACCACCCTCAGCAGCTCATTCAAGACCCTTCTGTTTTAAGGGAATGGGACATATGTCCTAAATCAGTTACAAGACAAAGAAGTTTACTTAAAAAACATCTATTTAAATTTTGTGAATCAATGCTATGGTAAATAGTATTATAGGCAATAGCTACCACACAATGTAAGGGAGCGGAAAATAGGACTTTCACTGAAAGTTGCTAATTTCAATATCTGGTTTCTCTCTTTGGAGCTCAGGTCTTCAGGGTATCTTTCAGTTCTTAGTTCTACTTGAATGCATTTTGCAACTAGCATGTATTACTTTTACAGTTCTTAGTTCTACTTGAATGCATTTTGCAACTAGCATGTATTACTTTTACAATGGATTTTTTTTCAAAGTTGCTATTTTCTACTCTGCCCTTGGAAATTGATAATTCATGAAAAGGTGCTCGACAAAGACCAACGTTAATAAATGACAGCTCTGGGCCTCCCTGGTGGCACAAAGGGTAGTGTCAGTACTATGAAGCTATTGCCAGTCACAGCAGCAGGATTTCGACCCAGCCAGGGAACTGACCCACATGGCGCAGCAGACCTCTCCTGACTCTCCCACTGCTCCCCTCAGCAGTGTATTTCAGTAGATCCACCTGTTCTGCTCCCTACTCTGTCTCTGGGGAATCTCCTCTTCCATGCCCCCCACCTCTTGTCTACACCCCAGCTCTTGCATGCATACATAAAATAAATCTTTATATATATAAAAAAAGAATAAATGACAGCTCTTACTTCAACATAGTCCGTGGGAACAAGTCCTCGCTCTCCCCTGCTGTTTCTTCCTTCCAGCCATCCCCCACCAACGTCCTAATAAAGTTTAAAAAAAGGGAAAAGATTAGAGATGGAAATTTCACAGAAATTTTGTTTTAGGAATTGTATAACAATTGTTATGCCTTCTTTTTTTCCTATAGAGCTAATACTCTTCAAAATTAAACATTTGTAAACTTTCTCTTTACTCCAGAAAATGGTATCTAAAAACAAGATAAAACAAAAATCAAGAGGAAAAAAAAAAAGGGATCAAAGATAGAAAACCAGCCCATTAGAGGCTTCATTCTGCATCGTCTACTTACTGGCCTGCTGTGGGTGACGGAGTGGAGTGCGGCTCTGGTCCTCACGTGGTGGGACCACCACTAGGGCCTGCCTGGCCCTCTGTGACTTCTATGGCCATCAGAACGAGGTGGCGTGACACAGTGAGTGCAGAGCCAGGCCTCAGTGAGCACACTGCAGCTCACTCTTTATCCAAAAGAGCTGCTATGTGAAGAGATCTGGGTTGCCACATGATGACAGAGACAAGGCCCCCGCCCCATCACCCTCTCCAAAGCCAGCCAATGCCAAGCAGTGCCACACAGGTGAGCAAGGTCATGGGGACCCCTCACCCCCAGTGAGCAGGTGGCAGCCGACAGCGTGTGCCCAGGTCAGCCCCTGCTGGCCTGCAGATTCCTGAGCAAGGACAACAGCTATTTGATTTATTCTTTGGGATTATCTGTCATACAGGGGGAAAAAAAAAAAAAGACTAACTGGTCTATGGTTCCTTAGTTCTTCCTGGATAAATACTACTAACAAATGAAGTAATAAAACACTGCACACCAGGATCCCCCCACCTTTTCTTTTTTTTTAAAGATTTATTTTTATTTATTTATACAATCACTGGGTACAGTCAGAAGCGCGGGAGGGTGAGAGAATTCACCAGAGCCAGAGTGGGGAGCAGAGCAGGCAGAAGGACCGAAGTACACTGCTGAGGGGAGCAGCGGGCGGCAGGAGAGGTCTGCGCGCCATGTGGGACCCTCCTCCGGTGGCTGGGGAGCAGCCGGGGATCGAACCAGCGCTGTAGAGGCCGCGGGCAGCTTCACAACCCAGCGCTCAACTGCTGCACCACCGGGGAGGCCCAGGATCCCCCTTTTTTCAATCTTTTATCTCAGCAAAGTCCTATGTCCCCCCTGAAACAGTAAGAGTTGTCTTATAACAGGGTGGTCCCCAGGAAAGGGGGAGGTTCCAGTTTCCCTGCCCCACCCAAAGGAGGGTAGAGCTAAAGAGAAGAGAAGAAGCTGTAGAAGAGGCTGAGGAAGGAAGGAAGCAGGATGGAGAGACAGAAGGAGGCCTGGAGGAGGCACATGGAGCAGAAAGACATGTGAAGAAACTGTGCTTGCCTTTTGGTTGGGGACTGGGTGACACAGATGTGGGTGGGAGACCGCGGGGAGGATAACAATAGCAGCTTTTATCTTGATTTTGCTTTTTTCCTCCCAGACTTAACTGGTTGTTTCTGATCCTTTTCTGTGGGTCCCACTGAAAGGTGCTTTAGACTTGTGGCAGGCTTTGGGGCCTTGCTCTGGACCAATCCCATTTGGGTGGACTTTTACCCATGAGGGGACAGGTCACTTTGAGTGCTTGACTTAAAAACTATATTCTTTGCCTTTCCTGTATTGTTTACTAATTGCAAACAATTAGTAAAGTCTCATTTGTTTTGTGTTGATATGGCGGATGACAGAACCTATTTAGAGCAGGCAGGTTTGGGGGCTCTAGGGTGCCCCTCTCCCTGCCCTGTAACAGTCTAACTGTGTAAGCCATGCCCTACTTAGGTGGTAACTACCTTAATTTGGATAACATGCTCTCTTTAAAAATCACTTTAAGCCACATCTCTGTCCATTTTTATCTCAGCAATTTAAAGACAAATTATTTGACCAGGAAATAAAGAAGACTTCTTCATCTAAAAAGGTAGATGAGGGCCTCCCTGGTGGCGCAAGGGGTTAAGACAGAACCTATGAAGCTATCAGCAGCCACTGCAGCACAAGTTCAATCCCCAGCCGGGAACCTACTCTCCTGACTCTCCCCCCTGCTCCCCTCAGCAGTGTATTTCAGTCAATCTGCCTGTTCTGTTCCCCACTCTGTCTCTGGTGACTCTTCTTCCTGCCACACCTCTGGCCTGTACCCAGTTCTTGTATGCATAAATAAATAAATCATTTAAAAAATAAATGAATAAAAATGTAGGTGAGAAGATAAAAGAATCTTTAATCTCTCCTGTGATTAAAAATAGAATCTAGTTGTGGCGTGCAGACCTCTCCTGCCGCCCGCTGCTCCCCTCAGCAGTGTACTTCGGTCCTTCTGCCTGTTCTGCTCCCCGCTCTGGCTCTGGTGAATTCTCTCACCCTTCCGCGCTTCTGACTGTACCCAGTGCTTGTATAAATAAATAAATAAATCTTAAAAAAAAAAAAAAAAAAAGAATCTAGTTGGCATATTATCTAACATGCCATACACTTTTTGTTATTTTTTTACATAACATAAAAGAATTACCCAATAATTCTTTTTGTGTCTAGTACATACATACAAAACAGGTTTTAAACATACTGTCAAGATTAGGATAATCCTCTCTTGCTCTCTGGGCTGCCCTGTGGGAACACCTGTGCAGAACTGGGCCTCCTTCCTTTTCCTGCTGTCTCTCTGCCTCCCTATAAACTCTCTTCACGAGTTTATTACTCTTAAGACGACCGGAAAACCAGTCTCTCTCCAGCCCTCGTCTCCAGCTTTGCCTTTCCATTTTTAAACTGATGCCAAAACTATGTGGTAGGGTTAATTATTTGCAATTCTTTAAACTCTACATATCTAAAAATAAGCTTACTTTATCTTTCCAGAAGCTCTCCTGACCCACCTTAATCCAGCCACCATTCTCTTGGGTGCAAAGGCCAAAAACAGCAGGACCCTGGTTGCTTTTCCCACCAACACTAATCAAGCCCCAACCCTGGCTCTGACTCCACTAAGGTTTCTGCATCTATCCTCAAACCCTACTGGTCCACCCGGCCACGTCTCTAGACTCCAGGCACACCAATTCATTCCACTCTTCTACTGGAGTAATCCTGAAGTGCAGGCCTTGGCATGTCACCTCCCCAAAACAAAAGCAACAATAAAAGCTGAGCAGAGCCCTTAGATGAAATGACCACATCACAGATGAGATCCAACCTATCACTTGGCCCTCGGTCCTGTGACTGGCTCCAAAAGCCAATTCTCTTAGCCGGTCTCCTGTACAGACATACCCCATGCCCCTGGGACACTTGTTTATGTGCTGTCTTCTCAGCAGAGAAGAAAACGCAGCAGTAGAGGCCAAATGGATATGTCTTTGAATCCTTGCTCTGTCACTTACCAGCAGGGTAATGTCGGGCAAGTTACCTCACCCCCCCCCCAAGTCTCATTACCCTCACTTGTAACACAGGCATTAAAAACACCTACTTTCCAGAGGAGACAGGGAAAATACAGGAAAGAAGTTGCACTGGCAGAGCACTCAGCCAGACCACCGCTCACACCACCAGCACACAGTAGCCGAGACTCCTCAGAAATACCCCTTCTGTCTACGTATCCAGGGTCTGCTGGGATGTTGTCCTTCCCATTTCTGCCTGGTGGAGCCGCATCCAGCCATCTTTCAGGGGCTTAACTTTTTCATATTCACATGAGATTTTTACTCTATCGTGAATACTTCATAAGGAATAGGAAATTCATGTGGGTTTGAATGACTGACTTAAGAAGTAAAATCTTAAAAACAAGCCTTTAAGAAACCATTAGAGGGGCCTCCCCTGGTGGTGCAGGGGTTAGGTGCTGGGCAGCAAAGCTGCCCGCAGCCTCTGTAGTGCCAGTTTGATCCCCTGCCGCCGGCAAGGGTCCCACATGGTGCGCAGACCTCTCCTGCCGCCCGCTGCTCCCCTCAGCAGTGTACTTCGGTCCTTCTGCCTGTTCTGCTCCCGGCTCTGGCTCTGGTGAATTCTCTCACCCTCCCATGCTTCTGACTGTACCCAGTGCTTGTATAAATAAATAAATAAATCTTTTAAAAAAAAAAGAAAAAGAAAAAGAAGAAACCATTAGATTTAAACATGATTCCCTTACCGGATTTGTGATTGTGATGATTTCTCCTTCATTAACTGTCAGTTCATTATTTCCAGGTTCAGCAGCAAAATCATACATAACCCGAGCCTGTTGGGAGTGAAAAAGAAAGAGAAAGTTACACACGTGAGCATCACAGCAGAAAATCCAACCCCCCCCTCCATCCCACAGTCTGCTTTGTAAATGCGCTGTACGGACGATGCTTCCCGACACGGTCGTGGCTGTTCTGGGAGAAGGGGCAACAGATCCCCTGAAAGACGTATCAGCTCATGTAAGTAGCTGTGGCAAAAGATCTTTTCCCAACAGAAGAAATTTCTACAGAGAATCGGTGGCAGTCAATGAGAATGACTGAAAACTTTTTTTTGCAAAGTTTTCACTACCAATGAAATTGATATGTTCTTTAAAAATGTTTTTCCTAAAATAGGTTGATTTCCTTACCCTGAAATAAGATGCACTTTGAAAATGTGTTAATTTGTTAATGAAGGAATTTGTCAAATTCCTCCGTCTGGGAAATTTCTAAGACAAATAGAAGTGTAAAAAGAACATCACTGAGTATAAGTACATAAACTTCCAAGAAATATTTAGAATAACTTGAAAGAATGCCATTGAAAAGGGAGGAAGAATCGAAAGGTACCATACATGTCCACACTAACCCTCTCCCTCACCCACCCATCCTTCTGGTCCCACACTGCTCCTCCCTCCCCATCCCACCAGCAGGCACACTTCTAGGAAGGCCTTGGAGCAAGGAGGTTCTCTGCGCTGAGGTCATGCTGTAAGCCTCTAGAGACTGGGATGATTTTAAGAAATTTTCTTCCTGAACTCACCAGACCCAAGCCCCTTTATGAAGTATAATTAAGAACCATCGGATAGACTGTACCCAAGTGCTTGTATAAGTAAATTAAATAAAAAAAAAAGGGCATTTTGACAATTATTTGGTGTGGAGTCATCAAACTGGTCACACCACACATAATGTTACCATTTCCAGGGTAACGTGCCAAACAGATCCTCCTGATACCACCCATGCAGAAGTCGGCTCTGCCCGCTGCTTCATAAGCGTGCATGCACACACACACACACACACGCACACTCACACGCACCAAGTTACTTGGATTTTTCTTCTTTAAGCCAAGGCAAAATGGCTGCATCACACAAAACACTTGGATGTGGCTCCATTAAACTGAGGTTGACAGAGACATTCTGCAGGGCGGGGAGAAGGGAGTAGGATCAAAAGAGGGGTTGGAAGAGCACAGGGGACTATGATGATGGTTCACGGGTGAAATGGTGATGGGAATTCCACAGAGACTATGACCGAGATGAGAAAGCACACATTGTACAAAAATGAAGAACAATGTAAAAAATAGATGAAATAAAAAACATAATAAAAAAAATAAACTGAGGTGATTTTTCTTTTTCTGTAAAGGGTCATCAGTATATACCTTATGGTTAGCAGGCCACAAAGTCTGTCTCTGCTCCTGCAGTGTAAAAGCACCACAGACAAAGTGTAAACAAACAGGTTTGGATGCCTTCAAATAAAACATGTACAAAACATGTGGCAGGCTATACTTTGCTTTCTAAGATGACTAGGTAAAAAGTTATATAAAAGTTTAATAATAAGAATCTTTGGGCCTCCCCTGGTGGCGCAGCGGTTGAGCTATGGGCTGTGAAGCTGCCCACAGCTTCTACAGTGCCAGTTCAATCCCCGGCTGCCAGCAAGTATTCCACATGACGCCACAGACCTCTCCTGCTGCTCCAGCTGCTCCCCTCGGCAGTGTATTTCGTTGGTCTGCCTGTTCTGTTCCCCGCTCTGGCTCTGGTGAATTCTCTCACCTTCCCGTGCTTCTGACTATACCCAGTGCTTGTATAAATAAATAAATAAATCTTAAAAAAAAAAAAGAATCTTTGCAGCTCATGTCACAAAGGTTAACCTTTCTAGTATATAAAAGAGCTGCTTGAATTCAAGAAAAAAGACAAGCAGCCCAACAGAAAAAATATAAATGACTCTTAAACATGTGCAAAAAATGCTCAATTTCCTACAGAAACTTAATCCTACAGACACTTAATTTGGCAGATGCTGCCAGATTCCCTCCCACAGGGACCGTACCACTTAAACCTCTACCAGCAACAGAAAGGAAAAAGCAATGGTTCCTCTTACAGCTTCACAAAAAGAAAAAATTACCCAAGTTTGTGACTTTCACCAATCTGGTGAGAAATGCTAGCTCAGTCTTTTTTTTTTTTTAAGATTTATTTATTTATTTATACAAGCACTGGGTACAGTCAGAAGCGCGGGAGGGTGAGAGAATTCACCAGAGCCAGAGCGGGGAGCAGAGCAGGCAAAAGGACCGAAGTACACTGCTGAGGGGAGCAGCGGGCGGCAGGAGAGGTCTGCGCGCCATGCAGGACCCTCCTCCAGTGGCTGGGGAGCAGCCGGGGATGGAACCGGCGCCGCGGAGGCTGTGGGCAGCTTCGCAACCCAGCGCTCAACCGCTGTGCCACTTGGGAGGCCCCGCTAGCTCAGTCTTAATATATTTATCCCTTGACCCAGAAATCTCATTTTCGGAGTCCACTCTGTGGCTGCACCACCTCCTGGTTACAGGCACTTACTATGGCTCTGTTTGCAACAGAAACAGATGACAGACAACCCGTGTCTGCTGACAGGGAACCGCTTGCCTAGCGATGTCTGTCACCACTACGTAGCAATGAAACAATAAGAACAATTTCTTAAGAACGACTGTATTAACGTGACTGATATATCATTAAATAAGGAAAGCAAATGGGAACACAGTGCATAGAGGACACTAGACTCCCCTAAGTAGAAGAGTATTTCTTCTATGTTTGCCAGCATTTCCATAAAGAAATGCTAGTTGAGTAAATCATTCTTAAAATGGTTACCTATACAGATGGGAGACAAAAACGAATGGAATACAGAAGCAGGAGTGGCTTTCTTAGTATATATTTGTCCTGTCGTTTTAGTTTTTGCTGTGTAGATATGTACCTGCTCAAGAATTCTAAATTAAAATGGGGGGAGGGGAGGGGGATCAGACACATTTACAGTATCAGCAAAAGATAAAATATCTAGGAATAAAGAGATGCAAAGGACCTATCTCGAACAAATTTTAAAACATTCCTGAAAGACACAGAAACCTGGAAAAACTGGGGAGAATGGTAAATTGTTTGCACAATGGCCAAAACAGATCTTCCTACCCCTACATAAACACCCTTTCATGTGACTTTGCTCTCAGTAAGAAACGAAAGCTATCTTCCCACCTCTGGACTCTGGGTTTGTTGTTGTGCTTGCTTTGGCCAACAACTTTAACAGCAAATGCAATACAAGCAACGGCACTGAGTCACCCCTGGGTCTGCCCTGCCTCTCCATCACAACCACCTCCACCACTGCACAACCTGGGTTAGCCTCTGCAGATGTAAGACCACCATCCTAGCCTGGCCATCTGAGTTGGACAAGGCGAGACCCCAACATGATGTCACCCAAGGCCTCTAGCTCAGCTGGGCCTTCCAGATGGCAAGAACTACCCAAAGAATGAAAAGAAAGACTATGTATTAAGTCACTAAGTTGGAGGTAGCTTATCATGCAACAAAAACTTAGTCATATGAAGAAACTCCCCATATTTTCAGATGGAAAACTCACATATAAACAAGACTCTAAGAAAAATATGAACAGCATTATTTTTCTGAAATAGGGCAATTGACCCTGAACTTGATTTGGACATATGGAAAAGAGAAATTTTTTCACCAAAAAGAAACAAGCAGAGACTAGAAAAGTGGGAAGTTCACAAATCCCAAATACAAAGAAATGTAGTATGTATGATAAAGGTGACTTTGTATTGCTTTGGAATAAATGAGAAGCTATCTGGAAATAAAAATGAATCCCTACCTCACGCCTTCCACCAACATAAATTCCAGGATGGCACAAATATTTACATTAAAATAAACAACAGCAACAAACCCACATCTAGTGCCCAAATTGTAATCTCACATAGCACTTTTTATTCAAAAGAAACAGATTACTTAGAGAAATGTCTGATTTCAGGTGTCAGGGTGGAAAAAAGCAACAGAACTATAAATAACACACAAGATGGAACTGGAACATCCTTTCCTCCCAGGTCTCAAAGACACTTGCAAAACCTCCCATGGTTGCACCAAACTCATACCCTCCAGGGGTGCATCCAAAGGACATACATGGACTCCATCCTGCAGATGAACTTGCTGTGCAAATGTGGGACAACGTGAGCACCAGTAAAGGTAAGGACTGTAATACCCCAAATGTTTAATTCCCTGAGTTCATAATGATAAAACTCGTCACTATTATAGGATACCATGGAACCATTTCATTTTGGACAATAGTTAAGAAAAAGGTAAAGTTTGAAAAGTCCCCTTTACAAACTATACCACTAATTAATCAAGTTGTAGATTAGAAGTTTCTTTGGAGTTTGGCTCAAGATGGAGGCACAGGAGACACCCGAACTCGCCCCCTATCATGGGTAACAAATCTATAACTACATGCGGAATAATTTACAAGAAGGGAGACCAGAAAATCAGAGACCCCACAACCAACGATAAAAGCTCCCAGCTGGGTAGTAGAGACAGAGATAAAAAGGTGTGGAACTTTTCCTCGGGGAGGTGAGGGTGGTATCCTACTTGCAGCACCTCCATCTTTTTTATTCTGCACAGCAGAGTGAGCCCCTAGAGTTCTGGTGCTTAGAGTGGGTGGAAACCCCAGAAGAATTTTAGTAGAGGGAACAGAGAATCCACCCTTAAAGGGCCAGCGCAGACTCACTCACCCAGGCACCTAGCACAGTAACAGTAGTCTGAAAAGCAGACAAATCAGAAGCAAAGGAAAGTCATTTAGTACTCTACAGAGTCCGCCTGGGAGGTAGGCATTGGGGGTGACCCCAGTCCAAAACCCTGGTGGGTGCCATCTTGGCAGCTTTCCAATGCCGTTGGCTGGGTGTCATTTAGAAATCTCCTCCAAACCCCCACCCCCAGGCAACTAGGGACTGTCAGAGAACTGTGCTGAGAGCTCCACCCAACCCCACCAGCACTGCCAGCCTCACTGCCACACCTCAACTTGCTCAGGAGCAGCTGGCATGGGCGTGCAGCTCAACACACCTACTGCACAGGGGCAGCAGCTGGCACAGGCCCACAGCACCAGCCACCCGCACACCACAGTTGTGTGCCTTGACACCCACTCACTGTGACCCTGACAGAGCAGGAGGGTGGGTGCAGCCCAGGCAGGTGATGCACCTGGAACACCAATCAGGTGGTCACAGCAGCCCCTGATACTACAGAGCAGCACCTACACAAGGCCATTCCCAAGAGATCAGGAGAGGTAATAGAGCTGACTAGTAGCACACAGAAGCAAGCGCTGAGAATCAGGCAAATTGGGGAGAAGGAACATGTCCCAAAGGGAAGAGCAAGATAAAATGCCTGAAAGACTGCAGAGAAATGAACAGAAGCAAACTACCGGATGAAGGAGTCAGAGTAAAAGTTATAAAGATGCTTACTGAACTCAAGAGAAAGGCATACAGATGAGCTATAAAATTTAAGGAAGACCCAAAAAGAAGTTAAAAGAACTGAAGGATACAATGACAGGTTCGAAAACTACAACTCGAGGCCCAACAGCAGCCTGAGTGAGCAGAGGAGCAGGCTAAGTGGGCCGGGAGACAAGCAACTGAACTCAGCAGCCAACACTCCGCCTCCCCTTAGGTCATCTCTGAGAGGGGTTCCTACTCACCTCACCTGCAAACTGTAGGAGTGTCATACAAATCAAGAAGTTCAAATCTTTGTGGTAGAGCACCCATGAAGGTGTGTGTTAGTCATGAAGGGCGTGCACAGCCAAGAAACCCCCAAGCCTCTGAGGGATGCCACCCACATGGCAGCGCGTGCTGCTCCCCGTGACAGTGGTAGCATTGGCAGGTGTGTCCAGGCAAATGCAGGGCTGGCGGCCCAAACAGGGGCTGGATTTTTACAGTACAGACTTGAAGATGCAGAGAGCAGTGCTGACCTTAAGCATTGAGATGTAGATTCTCTGGTCACTGAAAACATCTAGGTGAACACAGCCCCAAGGGACATCATGGAGCTTACAGAGCTCACAGTCAGGTGAACTCCTACATGAGCTCTTGCTGCCACCCGGAGAAGATCCTCA